AAGTGTTGTAAAGGGAGAAGAATCGGGTTTGCCCGGATCCGAAATCCGACCCGAATCTCCTTGTACTTCAGTGGGTACATCGACGGTGGATTGTGATTTGTCGTTGTTGGATATGATTCCGATGGATTTTGGGGCGTTTGATGACTTCTCCGACGTTTTCTCTGGTTTCTCCGGTGATCGATTTACAGAGATTTTACCTGTTGAAGATTACGGAGAAGAGATTTTGTTAGATGATTCTTTCTTTCTTTGGAATTTTTGAATTGAGGTTTCTTCGGGTCGTGGAGTAATCTGGAGAATTTTTTTTTTAAGACGGAGCTCCAACGACCCGGGAATTTTTCGGATCCGGAATTTGATGTGGACTATTTTTTTTTTTTTTGTCGTGATGTGGACTATTATTCATATCATATCCATTCATTCATATTTGTTAGTAATGAAAATTTCAGATAAATTGTAACTAATATTTTATGTTTTGATATCAGTGTTCTAAAAAGCGTTTTAGGCGTTCGTCTAATCGGCGCTTAGACACGAGGCCTTTATAGACCGTGGCGATTACCGTTTTTATCGCTTAAAATATTATGACATTATAATAATAAAATATTATAAATTTTTGCATATATAAATCGTAAAATGTTATATATTTGACTATAAAATGATAAATATAAATATAATATAAATTTTGTTAGTTATAAATTATGGTTTTTATATATTTGATTATATATATTTAATATATTATATATTTTTATAAAACACTTCAATTGCCTATTAAATCACCTATGGTCCGATTAATTTCATTGCTCGGTATCAATCTCTTGATTTTTAAAATTATTCTGAAGAATATACTTCACAGTTTCATAAGAAAAGAAAAAAAAAAGAATATCCTTCATAACGGTGATTTTGGGAAGATGTATATACGGTACGATAATTTTGGGAAGATATTACCATTTGGCCCAAAATCTAAAAGTTGGGCCTAGATCATTAATCATTTTCTTCAGCCCATTTTAAAACAAATATTCCCGTGTTTTGTAGGTCCCTTGATGATAAATACAAAGGTGTTTGCTTTTAAATGAAATAAAAATATCTTCCCAGCATTATGTCTGTTTTGATATTATGCAATGAAAATTACAAGTTCAACTTCAAGAATTAAAAGTCAAGAAAACAGGATTGGATCAAGGACAAGAAACGGTCGAGAAAAAAAAAAAGTATTCGAGAAAGAAAAACAAAATATCGGAAGAAAATATGATTAATCGGACATATTAAATGTTAGGGATAAGATTCCACAAATCATTTTCATATTTGCCACCTAATTTTCGGCTTAAATAAAAATAACAATCACTATCAAAAAAGTAAAACCACTGCCTGATTCCAGACAAAAAAAAAAAAACCACTATCTAAAATTAATAACCTATGTGCTTATAAATAGAAAAATAATCCACATATCAAATGTTAGAATTGGTCTAT